CAACAGGGCTACCATCAACATCATCATGATCACCATTATTACGGAAACAGTGTCCAACCTGGCGGCTACTATCAGCATCCTAATGGAGGTTACTCTGGTTCCCAGCTAAATTATTATCCCTCGCAAGCCACGTATGCGCACGCACCTCCTTATGCTCAGGGGCCATACTCTCATCACCCCTACCCCTATTCACAGGGACCCCACTCAAACGGAAATTACGGAAGTTACCCAAATCCCGGGGCGGCTTTCTCAATGGGTGCTTCTGTCGAATACCAACCATCAGAATATGAACGGCATCGGTCTTATAAGACACAAGGGTACTAAATGTAGAGACGACCTGCAGCCTTAAATTTTAAAAAGTTATTTATTTATGTTCATATACATATATGTTATGCATTTTTTAAACTTGAAATAAAGTAAACCATTTACATACTTAGTTGTTTATTAAACATTATGTTTTTTTGTTTTAGATTAGTTTTCAATCATAGCTTTAATTATCCTAAACTTGTGGGATTTTGCGCATAGCTACATATATATCGCACGCTTAATAATATACAGAATTATTTCAAAATTAAAATTGTGTGGGAAAACGCAGTCAAAGTTTGACCAATTCATATATAGTGCGTTCCAGAACGTCTACGATTTGCAGGTTTTGCAGGATTTATTAAAGGCGAAAACAGCTGTTCCTGTAAAACCTGCAAATCCTGCAACTCGCGAAGTACGGGAACAGGCTAATAGTTGGTATACCAAAAGACAGATGGAAAGCGGCATATCTGCGCCAGTTTTGGGAAGTTTAGTCATCTGTTAGGCTGAACATATTCTCCTTATTAAGCTTATTCATTTTATGATGGAATCTCCGAAAACGTAAATTTTGAATTACATCTCTTTATTATTAAACGTGCGATATGTAAAGTACTTAGAGCCTTTATATACACCGGGAATGACGGTTACTGTCGAGATTCGATGGATTGTCTGGTGTCTTTTTAATCATTACATTTCAGTTTAGTGTCTAACAATTTCTCTATAAACCATTTTTTTTGTAAAAACTTTTATAGTCATACAAATGACCGAACCAATAATAAAAAATATGTTTACATACTACAAATATACTAAAGTGAAACTTTTTTCGGTTCATTACTAGTTCGTTTTATATTGCAGAAATTTGTTTTAAACTTAATATGAACCTTCTTAGTCTTCGTTTACATATTCATGTTCGTCTTCGTGTTCAACTTGGTTATCTCCGTCTTCACTTTTGTAAACGTATTCTTCTTCGGTTTCTTATTCGTCTTCATATTCATGCTCATATTCATCCTTGTTTTTTGTATTCGCATTTGTCTCCATAGTCGTCTTGGAACTAGGATTCGTCTTGGCTTTCGTATTCGTATCCACAGTCGTTCTCGTCGTTGGTTAGTCTTCATATTGGTTTTCGTACATATTTGTCTTCGTCCTCGTATTCGTTTTCATATTTTTTCTAGTCGTCGTCTTCGAATTTGTCCTCCTGTTCGTTCTTGTATTCTTATTCGTCTTCATATTCATTATCGCCTTCGCATTCGTCTTCCTGGTATCCTAGTATCTATTCGTCTTTACATTCGTATTCGAATTCGTATCCATATTCGTCTTCGCATTCGTATTCGAATTCATCTGCATATTCGTCTTCTTATTTGTATTCGTGCTCGTTTACGTCTTCGATGCAAAAAAAAAGCGATATACCAACAAATTTTGAAACCATAAAAACTCTCGTCGTCTACTGAAAAATACATGATAAAAACATTAGAAGGTAAAACCATTCTCTCAATTCGTCGGCCATGATTTTTTTCTGACGTTTGCAAACATTTTAAAATCATATAAAATTGAAAATAAAAAAATGAAATTGTTCACAATTGTTGTTGTTTGAGATTAAAAATGAGAATGTGTGTGTGAGCCTGAGCTCGAATTTTAAAATTATATTGTTGGCAAACGTCAGACTGCCTCTCAATGATTTTACCTTGTAATGTTTTTATCATGGAAAAATACATTTAGAATAGTGCTTTTGTATTCAAAATCGTTCCAGTAGAATCGCCAAACGAAGGCCGGAAAATTAATAGGTCCATTCAATATCAACAAATTGTTACGAATTCTTACTAGTACTCACAAGTTTTTACTGGAAATGCATTCAATAACCCAAATATTTGCAAGAGAGAGCGAATTCGAGAGCGTAACAACCCGAGAGAGCTGCAAATTCTGGCAAGTAAAAATTTTACTAAAAAAAGTAAGGTTATGTTTCAAATTCAAATGTAAACAAACTCTTTAAGAGGATGATTTGATGAAATCTAATTAGTGAAATGAAAATATGGATGACAAATTTTTTTATTTTTATGACGGTGGGAACTATTCCCAATTAAAAAGAAAATAGCGCGCCAAAACTTAACCGTCAGGAAGTGTCAAAATGGCTTAAGTTGCAAGTTTTTACTAGGTTTGCGTTCAATAACTTTTTCTGCAAATTTTCTCTTGCTCTCAATTTTACTTTCTATTTTTCTTTAACGCTCTCGCTGCAAGTACTTACTGGAAAAGTTATTGAATGGACCTATATATGGGCTTTCACTAGCAGTCTTGTCATGGAGACACAATTTTTGGGGAAATTTTTAAGGGAGATGCGTTGAAATGTTTTGACATCCGTGTAATGATACTCATGATAGAGTTTTTGAGTTCTCCCGAACTGATTTTTAGAGGGACTCAGCCGGATATTTTCGTTGATAAGCATTTAAAGCGAAAGTAAAATAATTCGAATGGATATCATAGATGTTCCTATTACCCCAACATGCAACCGTAAGATTTCAATCTTCCCACTTATGAAATTAGAAACAATCCGTATTGAAAAACGCGCATACATGCGTAAACTGTAGATTTATACTGCGTGTATAAATTTTTGAGATAATTTTTAAAGTTTTTTCTCTTTATTTTATTTTAAATAAAACTGTATTATTTAGATGATGTTCGAAGCTTTAAAAATGTCCCGATTTTTGTCCCCAGAAATCTGGTCACCGTAGGTATGTTTCTTTGCAAATTAAATGCCTAAAACTTAGCACAAGCCATATCTATGTAATATACCACTGATTTAAGATATGCAAACAGAAAGCTTATATTTAAGAATAGCGGCAATGGCTTAATCTTATTTTTCTAAGCCTACGCTGACCACTTCATTTTTACACCTGCTGAATGTAATATTAGGGTGGTTCAAGGTTTATTGTTTTTAGCCGTCTCACAGAACTAAGGAATATCAAACCGATAGTTCTATCTTGTATATAAAAAAATGTGCTATTTTTTTAGGAAATATTCTTATTCATTCGAAAAAACAAATATTTTTTAAGGTTTTATATCAATTCTACGAAGCAATTTTCGATATATGTTAGTTTTGGGAGTGGCAGCGGGAAAATTGCTAAAAAGTTGATTTTCCTTTTGAACCACCCTAATTTATAATCTTCAAAAGTGACACAACCCAAAATTTGTCATTTTTTAAATTATGCACTAAAAATGTACTCAGAGCTTTTATTCGCCTTTCAGCAAAAGGTCGAGCAAATTTTTGTTTTGGATCTAAAATAAATTTCGAGCTTGCAAAATTCCGAAAATAGGTATCTTTCTTCAGCAGCGTTTTATTTTGCTGTAGTAGTGTAGAAGTGTTTGAATTTTTGTAAACTTGCTATAAGGCGGTTTTTGTATGATATATCCATTTATGGACTAAACCTTTTTCTTAAAGCATTGTTTTGGAATTAAAAATTATTATATTACAATAGGGGCGTTCACGTTTTGTAGCATTTTAGATTGCTACGTAGCAACTTTACACCTGCATACAATACTACAAATCCTAAACGCCGCTCACTCAGACGTAACTGAACTTTCCCTTTTACGATCGTTTCTCCCGCTCACGCATTGTGCGACTATACTATATCGTCGCTTGGCGCGCAATACCTCGTATTACGGTATTATTATTTTGATTACCCTGTCTCAATGCTTCTCACCTTCACAAATTTAATAGTGTATAATTATACGTAATAGAAGCTCATATTTAGTAAGTTTAGTTAGGAAATTACTCAAAAGTTTTGAAAAAAGTAAGTTTCTTCGCTCTTTTGTGAAATTTTCGGACTATCTTGTACTTGGTATTACATTTGGCGGATATGAGGTATTGTGCGTCAAGCGACGATATGCTGCATTCTTTGGCGGACGTTTAACAACAAAAATGAGTCCAGAAATGGATTTATCATACCAAAAACCTCCTTGTAGCATGTTTTAAAGAAATTTGAACACTTCTTCAGGATACTACAGCGAAATAAAACGTTGCGCAATTTGGCAAACTCGTAATTGTCTTTAGACCTATGGTTTCTTCGCCAAATTCTCCCATAAAAATTTACCCGCCCTAATGTACATTCAAACTACATCTAACTAACGTCTTCTTATGTCGATCGTTTGTTGCTCGCGCGAAGGAGCTAGTGTTGGTGTAAGGTATTGAGAATCGGGAAATATGATTGCGCCATTTTTAATTAGTTGCCTCAAATCTGGATTTAGTGTTGGGGCTCTGTGAGTAGTTTCTGGCATCAGAGTACGTTGAGTTGTAGTTGAAGTGGTCGTACGTGTCGTCGACGGTATGTGTTTATTGTTTTGAGACTTGACATCTTGTGTGAGATCCGATAAAGGTTTCACCGATGGCGGTTGCGTGGGGATAATCGGTTTTTGCATAGAACTATCGGCGCTGGGAGGTTTGGGAGTAGCGCCGTGTAACCAGGGATTTCTTGTCGTTCCGCCATTAGGCAGTGATTGGGTCTGATGTGAAGGATTTCTCATTGTATAATTTTGTAAAAATGGATTTTGGTTGAAGTGACTTTTTTCAGTGGAGTTTTGAACATGTGAGGGAAAATGAGGACTTGGGCTTTGTGCGTATGCATTAGTGTTAGAGGAAGTTTTCTGTTCGTTAAAATGATTTTGCCCCATATAATTAAGTAGAAATGGGTTTTCAGGTATACTCCTGCGGTTTCGAAATGTTCTATCAAAAGCTATCGGCGTTACGTGATTAGCATCCACTTCCGATGAAGCGTCTTCAAGTCGAGTTTTTTGTAAAGCAGGTAAGTGATGGAATGAGGCTGACCATGTCGATAATATTGACATATTGGCCAGCTGTTTGACTAAAGTTGGCGTAACTTGGATTGCTGACTGCTGCGAATCAGTTAAAGCAACGAGCTTCATAGCTATATTTGCTGGTTTTGTTGTTGCTGCTTCCTTGGTAAATGTCGTTGTTAGTTTTTTGGCGTCTGTGATTGCAGGCTCTGGGTTATCACGTGGCAAACTGATATCATCTCCACCGCTATTATTGGCAAAATTACGAATAGAGCTATTCTCTTTACTCACTTTGTAAATGATATCATAATTATGCATACTCTCAATTTGAACGTGACGCCCGTTTAAGTCTGGATTCCTTTTGCCATGCTCTTCATAATTTCGATGATTTTCAAAGTGCGCATTGTTATTTTGTCCACTTAGCTGACGATTTGGTTTATGCTGGTGGCGTAGTTGCAGCTGCTCTGCTTGAATAATTTGCTGATCATATCTTGGAATTCGCGTTTTAATACCTATTATTTTTTGCAGTGTTTGCGGTTGCTGTGGTTGTTGCTGCTGCCGCCGCTGTCGTTGCTGATAAAGTTGATACCGCTGGACATTGGTTTGTGGCTGGACCAATCTACCGCTTACGACGCCTTTCAGAATATGCGACGACGATTCTTTCGGATTTGTTAGACGAGCGCGCTTTCCGTCATAATTTGATGGTGACAGTCGAGAAAGGCGGAGGGGCTTCAGGGCTCCATCTGCTGTTACACTCCGCTCCGAACGGAGGGTTCGCCCCAATACTACATCGCACAAGTAGATTTGCGAGAACGCAGTGATAGCGTAAATATATGTATAATATTTCATTTCGAACTAAACGTGTTAAAAGAATTGCCGCATGCGACAATCGTGCTGTTCATCTATCTACGCCCGATCTGAAACTGCTCAAACGAATTGAAAATAGCGACCAATCTAGTGATTTCTGCGTCTTAGTTTAACAAGAAAGCGAGAAAGTAAAACGGTTGTTATTAAAAATAATAAACATAATTAGTAAACGACAGACGAGACCTTTAAGGCTGACTCAAAACCGGATTAGGTAGAATGAAATAAACTTTTTTTTTAACTTCTTAACGCTTATTTTGATGCGAGGGCAGAGAAATATGTAGTATAAAAATACTCTTGTATGTATATGTATGTGTATAAGGGTGTCTCATAAAAAAATTGATGTTTCTACAAGCGAATCACTAAATTCGGCATTTTTATGGATACCAGCAACATATGTATTCTGTAGCAATTCCAAGCCATTTTGCGTCTAAATGAAAGATCTCATTCACTGCTTACTCATACTCTTTGCCAAAAAGTTAAGGTCGTTAAGTAGAAAGTCCAATAAGAACAGGTGGACATTCACAGACTATCGCAACTCGTTCGCCTATATTCGACAAAGGCAGTGACAGGTTCTTAATGACTTATTATCATGGACGTCGCTACCTAGGGGCAGGTATCTTAAAAACTGTTATAGTTGCACAAATGGTCTGGTCTCGTTTAAAAGAAACAAATCGAAAAATAGTAAAAATTGAAAAATAAACACGTTTACAGAATTTTGAAATAAAAAAAAACATTGTAGAAGCAAAAACTTTTAAAAATTTTTGGCTAAATTTTTGTAATCACTAAAGTAAGCAGTTGTGATTATTACCATCTCTGAAAAAATAGCCTACCATATACCGGCACCTCCAAACCATACCATGCTAAGTCATTAGAGTTTTAGGCAGACTTACCGATTCGATTTTTAATTTTTTGTCTTACTAATCTTGAAAAATAAAATAATAATACTAGCTTACAAGAAATCATATCTGTCGCATTTGACCAATCATTTCCTATGTAAAATTTTGTGTTGGATAGTATTAAATGTGGAAATGGAACATTTTGATTTCAACAGGATTCTTGCCCGACAAATAAAGCGGAAAATCCGAAAAGTTGGTGAAAAGAAATTTATTCCCAGGTTTTACCGTGGATAATTCCATAAAGGATTTAACAAAAAAATTGGACGAAATACCAAAGGAACTTGACCGCAGGCTGCACGGAAATTCTCCCAAACGTTTAAAGCAAGTCCTTCAAATCAGGAGTAGGATGATTGAAATTAAGGGTTAAAATATTAAGGCGTGTCGTAAATTATTTTTATATTTATGAATGAGTTTTAAGTTTTTCATAAGTGCAGATAAAGTTTGTCGCTTAGAGCCCCATACAAATTAAAAGGTGTGCGTGCCGCTGCCTACGAATGAAAAATATGTGTGTCTTAGTAACTGATTTATCAATCTCTATTTTATTTTTTTTAACACTTCATTTAGCTTATTCAATAATATCCAAACACCTCAAAAACATTCTAAATGATCAAACTAAAGATTTCTTAAGCCTATTTCGTTTGACACCCACATTTTATGGTTTCAAATAACTTGTGTATACACCATATATTTTGCTTAGCGCCCATCCTTCTTGGCACGAAAAACTTGTGAACTTAACCGAAAAACGCACTTAAGCGAATTTTCTTTACTACTTCAATGAGGAAAGGTATCCGAATCCTTATGCAACCATATAATGGAGGAGTACTTCCGAATGGTATCTTATTATCTATATAACTACATAAATAACAGCCGTTTTCGGTGTTCTGTGAGATGCGCAAAATAAATAAAAGCTTGCAAAACTTGGGTAAGTCTAGAGCCAGTGCAGGTAAACGTAATACTTTATTTGATAAGTGATAATATTTGCACAATTATTAAGGCAGTTATCGCTAATGCGCAGGTATATTGAATGCATCTATCGGAGCAGTTTCTGTAAAAATGTTAAAAATACTAAATTTTTTATTAGGTGGCACTACTTTTCGAAAAAATAAAACCATATTGCACATCTACAGGCCAGGTCCTTTAATAGGTTCTTTCCCATACAACCCGGATCGGATCCGGTAATTAGAAAACAAGCGAAAATGTTGCTCTCAAAAGTGGAACAATGTCCAGAAGTACGGGAACGCAAAAGGCCACATTTCGTGCCCGGAATTTGAGAAATACCTTATTGAAGAGGTTTTTGTTATCGACACTTAAACAGCCCAGAAATCATTCCCATACTCAACAAAACAGGTAATAGAGAGCGAAAATTGGATCGTAAGTGTCTTCTTCTTCCTACCCGAAACAGACCGGACTTTTTCTTCGGGTAAAATGAATAAATTGTCAAAGTGCATATCAGCTGTTGTGTTTACACGTCTACTTGGTGCTTTTATAGAATAGTGAATGGCCTGTTGATGTATATTCAATCTTTATATACTTAAAATCAAATTTGTGAAAACAAAATAAAATTTCCAAGTGTTTGATTTTAAGTGACAAAAACCAAAACAACGTGGAAATGTGGTTTTCTGGCATTTCTGAAATTTACCGTTTTCTGAAAAGTGGCCGCAATTTCAGTCCGATCTCAATAATTTTCAATTTGCTTTTATGTGGAAAGCACAATAATCATACCGAGTTTGGTACTTATTGGTCGAACGGTTACCGAGATACATACATATGTGTGACCATAAACGTATTTCTGGCTAAAGAATTATTACAAGCATTAATTTTGAATAAATTAGATTCAGTAATTACTGGTTTATCGAAGATTTCGTATTTCTCTAAACTACCGTTGTATGGAATGTGGGCGTGGTAAGTGCCCGATTTTAAAAAGTTTAAGCTATTTAGTATGTCGTAACAGGGCCCACAACTGTGCCAAGTTTGGGAGAAATTGGTGGAGCGGTTACCAAGTTATACACAAGTTATCATAAGTAGGCGTGGCTATGCCCATTTTCCAACAATTTATAATACTCCTATTTTCCGTATAAAAATCATTGTAAATATCAATTTTGAGTGAATAATCTTCAATAGTTACTAAAATATCGCAGTTTTCGTACTACTGGAAACTACCATTATATGGGAGGTAGGCGTGGTTATTGTCCGATTTCGCCCATTTTCAATACCATCCGCCCTACGTCTGAAAGAAGTACTCGTACCAAGTTTCGTTAAGATATCTGAATGTTTATTTGAGTTATCGTGTACACAGACGGACGGACAGACAGTTCCCTAATCGATTTCTTTTTTTCATTCTGATCATTTATAATCGACTCAAAAATTAGTTGGGCTATTATTATATTTATGATTAATTTTTTGCAAAGCTAAGCATGAAATATGCGTTTTTATTTACAGAATAACGTGGCATATATAATTCAATTCTCTCAAGAGTCGACTTAAGCATTTATTTAACCGCAGATGTAATAACCGAGAGTCAATAAACTTTTTGAAGAGCTATTTTTAGGTTTACACGCCGATTGTGATTTCGTATTCATATACCTATGTTACCTAGTTGGTTTTTTTTATGTACCTACTAGGGATGTTGCGAATGTGGAATTTTAGACATCCACGGATGCGAATGCGGAAATTCGTTCCAAAATACATCATACACCCACCCTGTCGGAAACAGCAACAACCAAAAAGGAAATCATTTTTAATCCTGTCTTCTGTGACTGGTTTGAAAAATGTGTGCTTATAGCGAGGTTCCAATTAGGTGGATATAGCAAATAAATTGTTATTTTCTAGGAATGAACATTTCGAGTTTCGAAGAAAATTTTGTTTTGAAAGTCGTGGTTGTCATGTCAGCCGAACTTGTTTAAATTCTTGTTATTTTGATAAAAAGTCAACCCGTTTTTTATAATTTTTTAGTTATTGAAATCACGGACGATGAATATCTCAGTTCCCGGGTGACTTTTTGAAAATGTTCACCTGTAATGAATAGCTTGCTTGCAGGCAGTCACAATTAATTACTTACTGAAATACAAAAAAGTCACAACTAACTAAAATTTTTTATTGCATAAAACGATGTGGCGACTTATGATTCGAAGAAATGCGTCATAATCAATCAAGAAGTGAATTTGGGATTTTTAGTTAGTTAAGGCTTTTTTTATTTCAGCGACGTGTGGGTTACGCCCTATCCATACTATACTAACGACACATTGCATGCCAAGTCCCACTCCTCAATAGATATTCAATTCGCCGTGAATTAATTCTTATTTGATTTCTGAACTTGACTGTCAACATTTTCACATTCCATGTTACTTGTATTTCGCTGCGTACAAATTTTGACAATTATCACAAAATTAAAATAGATAAATGTTGTTTTCTTTCGAGCGCACAGAGGAGTATTTGCATAGTAAAACCGGTCAAAATTATTTGGTGTGTTTTTCTGCTAAGTAATAAAAGAAAACACGGAACTTAATCATAAGAAGCGGTTTTATGTAAAATAATTATTACACTTATCTAAGATAAAGTAGAAAAGAAAACTAGCGGTGCATCCAGTTTTTTCAACAGACTTTTGGACAAATAATATTTGATAGTTACATAATTCTTACCTAATTAAAGGTTAAGGGTTGTTGGTGATTTTGTTTGCCATATATACGTTTTATCAGTGCACTTGTACAATATTCGAATTCGCAAAAGCTCCACATTGATTATTACGAATACGAAAGCGAATGCGAATGCGAATATTCGCAGCATCCCTGGTACCTACATACATACGTACATATATACACAAGTTTTGTATGAGGATGAGATACGCGTGTTACATACATACATACACACTAGAAGTGAGAAGAGTTTGCTTGATTGAAATGATCGAAAAGAGGTACTGAACAGTTTTCAGACTGACCACCTGTCGGTAAAGTACCTGTGTTTGCATTCGCTTGAGGTACTGCGCATTCGCAACTATGTATGTAACGGGTGATTTTTTAAGAGCTTGATAACTTTTTTTTTTAAAAAAACGCATAAAATTTGCAAAATCTCATCGGTTCTTTATTTGAA